CCTAAAGATATGCTTTTGCAATGGGCAGACTTACGTTGCCCTATCCCGCATCCACGATCCTGCCAATATGCAATTGCTGGATACCAAAAAAGACGCGTTCAAGCAATCCTACGCCATCAACATGCTTCTCAAATTGCTGGATGGCATGGATCGCCTCACTCCCACCACCTGCCCCACTGTGCCTTTTCCCGACTTCTGCAACACCATCACCAAGCGACCATGCTCTCGAGCCATGCAAGGTATGCTCTAATTCCCTACTATGTATTTACCTATCCAATAGCAAATGTGCCGTTTCCTCTGCTCTTTGCCAAATTTTTCCCCACTTCATTTCCTTCACTACATCTCTGTTGTTGTGTGCAGGATACAACCACGACTGTGCTTCATCATCGTCCATTGACGATGATTGAATTTCCTTATCCAAGACTGTTCAGATTGTTCCACGTGCTACCAGACAACCAATTGTGTTCTCTCAGAATGGTTCAATACCAGTTCTGTGCTCTGCTACTATGAATCAAGGGCATCTTGCTGAAGTTTCTCATTATTATGGAGTCCTTTAAACTGATGTGGACTAGGCGTTCATAAGGAATCAAATTGTCACGTTTTGCCTTGTCTTTTGGCGTTCCGTTTTACATGTTGCCCATATTTCTTATCGCAAAACGCTTCATCGCATACGCAAAAGAATGGCACATTATCTACAGCACAAATAAGTGCAACTTTCGATCGAAACGTAACCTCAAATGTTTCTTCCTCATTTTTATGATCTCACAATAGAGATTCTCTGGATGTAACAATTCACAACAATATATAAGACATCACTTGGAATCGACGCTTCTACAAATATCATTGTGGAAGCAAACGTTCCCAGACGCCTAAACAAGCGCTTCTCAGCAAACACTCCCCTTCGCCATCATGTCCGCCAGCATGCTAGTCTAGCCACGAAGCACAAGTTTCCTACATCTCAATACCAACCTGCCCCTCTCAAGTCTAATAATCTTATCCTTAATCAATCAACCGCACTAACAAGAAAACGAGTTTGCCAATTCCGGCGAATCCGATCACTATGACTGCCATACCAGCTTCCCGTATCACACACATCAACGAAACTATTGCTGCCAACAGTATCCTTATTTCTACTATTATTTATGCTGCATCCAATGATTAAATCCATTGACACATCTATGCAATGACACAACCTCACGTTATCGTACTAGCCTAAATATTGGATGCCATCTGAAGTTCAGATGCAACCATTCTTCTGCCAACTACCCCTAGCATCTTTTGCTCTATGCCATTACATTGTCACCACACAATGCAATACAACGATGCCATGCTCCTTCGCACGTTCCACTTCATTCACCTACACGTTCACAGCACACGCTTGTTGTCAACACCTTCCACGATAGCCGCTGCCCTCACAACCCGTACGCTGCCCTACCACATTCTCATCCTCACCCTTTCTACGCCCACCACAACCCACCGTTTCATGCCTCCACCTCCTCTGGTAGGGGGCCGTAGGCCCCAGCTCATAAATAGCTAACATCAACCATTTGCCATAATCAGCTCACCACCTAAAATCCCATGGCACACCACAACATGATCACGAAACATCTCTTGTTACCACTCCCACGGCTATCACCCAACACCTCCTCCATTAACGCCGAATCGATAGTGGGCCCATATCCACCGTCACACGCAATGGACTCGGTAGACTTTCTCTCCAATGAGCTAGCACCCTATTTCTGAATGAGCATAACACCAAAGGATAGGCTGGCAGGGCAACTCACCAGCACAACCTTATGCTGGGGGAAAGAAACACCCCAATATGTTCTTCATGCATATTAAAATAGATTCCCTCAATGGCTGGAAAGAAACATTAGCACATGGATTGAAATCTAGAAAAGCACCAAATATGACCTTTATTGCCGGAAAGAGGCACCAGCATATAGAGTAAAGTTTCAATGAGCGGCAAACCAACAAGCATTCATCATCACAATAATCATGATATTAACCAAGCCACTTTCAAGCTTCTTCATAAGCAATTGTGCCATCAGAATCCCCAAGCAATCGGTTGTCCCATTATGATAAATTCATAAATCAAAATTCCTTGGGTCCACTTGCGCGCTTTCACCAGCCTCGAGAGCCACCAAATCCGTCACCTCCGTATTGCCGTATGCAAGTGCAGCTCCAGTAGTTGTACCTCCACCTCATGTGGCCCGACCTCCGGTAACTAATGGGCCCAATCAATGGCGGAGAACTCCAAGCCACTGCGGCTCTGCCCCTTGCGACCATCCACCGCTTTGGGCTCCCTCAAGCTCCTGGCACTGCCCTCGCTCGAAGCGCCAGCCATAGTCACGTCTTGGGAGGCTCGTGCAGAGTTCTGATCCATGCTGCAAACTTCCTTGGCCGGCCACACGTTGCACAATCCTTCGCCAAAGTCCACACCTCACCGAAACACCACCTCACCACAAAATGTTAAGCCAGTGCCGACCCTCGACCCACACTTGCCGTTGCCACAAAACGCTTGCAAAGGGCTCCTCGCTGCTCACGGACGTCTGGCTGCCCGTTCGCCACCGCCGTGCACCACTCGGACGTCGATTGCAACCCGCCGATGTGGTCAAATTGTGGGAATCTCACTTGCGCCCGTTCACCGAATTGGGCGATGGCCGCCGAACGACGGGTCAATCACTGTCCAAACAGCCTCGAGCAACCCTAAGGACCTTGCTGCGCTGTTCGCCACTGTCTCCCAGCCCTCAATCGCGCTTTGCCAACCGTAGATCTCGCTCAATTGCAAAATCTGCAACTCCACCCGTCCAACGCTCTGACCGATCGTTGACCGAAAACTGACTCAATCAACTTGCAAACGGCCCCAAACAACCCTTGGGAACCTTCCCGCACTTTAGCCACCTTGCCCCAAAACTTGCCTCGATGCTCCAAAACCATCTTAAAGGAAAACCATGATAAAGGAAACGCACCATCACGCATAGCATGATGGGCCTGTCCTCTTCAGAGGAAGCTAGAGAAGTGGCAATAGCTAGGCGATTGGAGGGGTCGCCATCCCACGCGCCGGCGCTCACATGGCCAGGCGACACGGAGTCCAAGGCGTGGTTCACAGCACAGGTTGCTGCGCCCCCAACATGCTGGGGTGCACTTAAAATGATCAGCCACGTTCATGTCAACTTCCATTATCTGATACAATGTCCCATTTTCGACTTTAAGGATTGTCATCAATCCCAAATGCCCATAAAACAATTCAACCCCCATGCCACCTCATCACTCCACCTCATCACTAAGGTGCAGCCCACATCTGAAACATGCCATAGCTTCCCTTTCACTCAGAATTCAAAACAACATAATTCTGACTACTCAGGTGCCGCATATGGTCATTTCCAAACGCCCCCACTGCAAAGTGCAAGTACAACAAATCTTGCAAGCCAAAGTGAAAGGAGAGGGCGGTCACAATGTTGTAAAGCTTCGGGAAACACACATCCGAAACTTCCCCACAACACACCCTTGCATCTTGCGGACAAGACACTATGACCAAGGCATCTCTATGTGAATTGCAGGACATTCTTTCACCAAGCTCATGTTGTCCTCAACAAACATGAGTGTGATCGAAAACCACCTCAAAAGTCAAATTCCAAACCAGGATTCAATCACAGAAATGGCTATTCGGTACTTTCAGATAACATGTTTTTTTCTTTCAATCTCAAGCAGCGATTCACGCTTTGACATGCCCACTAGTCGCAAGCCATCAAGCAGAAGTGATCCACCCAGTGAAACGGTGGTCATTATGCGGCGTCGCGAACACTCCCCTATCATCCGATCACATACTGCACCGCTTCCCACAGTTGGAGGTCTCATTGCACACCAGAACTGCATATTGACCTCGGGATCTGCGTGGACTGGACCCTAGCTCTCGACGGTCCCACAGGCCCTGAGGGACCTAGGTCTCGGCACCAGAAGGCGGGAGCGGAACGAGCGAGCGATCGGGAGGATTGGGCGCGGCTGCGCACGGCCCGGCCTGTCGATTCGACCCTGTGTTGGCGGCGATAGGATCCGACGGTGGAGAGTGGTCAGCAGTCCCAACCCCGCTGGACAAGGGAGCCCAGGTCTCGGCACCGGAAGGCGGGAGCGCACCGGGCAAGAGATCGTGAGGATCGGGCGCGGCTGTGCGCAGCCCGCGCTGTCGTGTCCACCGGTGCTTGCGGCTAATGCGATCCGACAGTGTGGGGTGGTGAGTGCCTGTGTCGTTGGCATGTGGGCGTGCTCCAGTCTGCACCGCCTCGCGCTTCCCGTGTCCGGACCCCGTGCCCAGCGGATCGGTGCGCGCGCCTCAGCGCGCAGACAGGGTGAAAGTCAGCACCAGTCTGAAGCTGACGCGTGTGTTTTTGGTTGGCACGCCACCTGCTTCCGGTGTGCCGCCGACCGCGTCTGGATATGGAGGCGCTGAGAATCAAACAACGCTTCCGTGGACAGAGAACCAGTAAGCCATCTCTTTCAGAGGTTTTGTTATAGCTCCTTGGTCTTTTGCTTCGCAATTTGATCCAACGCCCTTGTCGTCCCGAGACCCCTGCTCACGAGATTGTCACACTTCTCACTCGCTCTGCCTCCGCGGCTTCTTCGTGGAGTCTTTGATGGATCCTCTCCAGCCGATTCAGCGTGGTATCGTCCCTTCGCTAGCCAAGTTTAGTCAGGTCTGTGTGGATCCTGTGGTGCGTTCGCGGGCATGGAGAAATTGTCCTCAGGCTCCCTGCAGTGTGATGGACATTGCTGGGTGTGGATAGGGCACGAGAGCTGCAAGCGACGTCGTGTGTTGACCCGACCCTGCCAAATTTGTTTTGAAGGTTTGTTCAAGATAGCAATAGAGGATGCCAATAGTGCCGTGCAACGGGGGGACTTGACAAACTAATGTTGTGGTTGGTCCTGTAGATTGCCTACTTTTGGAAGCCACTGTGACAAACGCCTCCCTCACTTCACAGCTCTTTTCCAGCGGAGGAGGGATGGCCGCACACAGGGGCAGTCAGGCCAACGAACCAGAGGAGGTCAGACCAGCAGAGCTGTGCAGGCTGATGGCTCTGACCACAGGCCGGGTGCTGACGCAGAAGAAAACAGAGGGCCGGCCGGGGAACTGGGAATCTGTTGATCTGTTGCTTCGAGTCGACTTGTGGTGTATCGCTGCACGACCACACAAGGAGTGCCCTAAGAATGTAACAGCATGGCAAAAGGGGGATCGCATCAGCTTGCTCAGGGGTGAAACCAAGGTGGCACACATCGAAGGCAAAGACGAGTGGTCTGTGACCAATGGGGATGACAGGCAGGAGTTCAAAGCCATGTCGACAGCTGAGGCAGCCCGATGGGTGGCTGCTTTGCAGCGTAGAGTGTGTTCATGGAGCGAACTGCTGCAAGACCAAGAAGCCGTGGAGGAGGGGCTGCCAGATGACAGCAGCCATTGCGATGAGGTGCCTGGACCCATCCCTCTGGTTCAATTGGAAGCCACTCAGGAGATGGTGAAGGCACTGGGAGTGGCTGCAAGCTTCGCAAAAGAGGTGCTGGGCACGATGCCCATCGCTGGGCCAGTTCTGTCTCTGCTGGGATTTGCCTTGGAGGTAGTTCATCGGGATGTGGCCGACGTCGCGGAACTTCGCCCAGCAAAGTCGGCACTTGAGGAAGTGGCGAAGCTGACGATTCAGACGCTGCACAGGGCACTGAAGATGAGAGATGAAGAATATGAATGTGAGCTTTCAAATGTACTGCAGATGATCGAAAGCGCTGCGCGAATGCTGGAGAGTCATGAACACAGGTCTGCATGGAGGAGGACCAAGCAGGCAGTACTGCAATCGGGCAGAGGGCCATCGGCTGTTCTGGAGTTGCTGAAGCAGTGTCAAGAACGCCTCAACACCCTCAAGATCCACCAAGTGGAGAAGCTCCAGATTTCAGGTGATCAGTGCCTGGAATGCTTTTCACTGTCTGTCAAACTGGAATATGCAAAGGCTTGCGTGGCTGAGAATGGGCCATATCAAGAGCCAGGGGCGGTTGTGACTGCCAGCAATACAAGACATGCTTATTATTGGGCAGCACTGCATACTGGCGGATGTGACGTGCCTTGACCTGCATTTTACCCAGTGGTGCAGTGCTGGGCTGCATTTCTGCTTGTTTACCTGCAAACCAGCACAAACACTCAGAATAGGACAGCTGATGTTGGAACAAGGTTCCAATTCATGTTGGTTCTCTCTCCAAGGTTGTCCCCTTCTGGTTGAGTTTGTTGCTTGCCACCCTCTTTTCTTTGTCCCTTGATGATGCAGCACGTTCTTTGCATGGCGAATCCGGGATGGCAAGTATGAGGTTTTTAATGGTGTCCATCGTTGCAGTCAAGGGACTCTGAAAATATCACACAGAAGATATCAAAAGTGTTGCCCACTTCTCACAGGCTGTGTACATCCCTAAGACTATATTCAGCTGAATGATAGCTGTTGATCATGAGTCAGGCCGGCGCGTGGCTGTTCTTCTACCATCTATTGGTCTGTTGCAGCATCACTAGCAATAGGGCTTTCAGTACATTGTTTGGTGTCTTCTGAGCCACATGACAATATTGAACGATGCAGCACATCTACCGTAGCAACTTGCAAGGCAGCCATGCAGTGTGTGGTTGGACATAGGTGCCATGAGTAAGCACGTTGCACCATCATGATCACCAGCACTGTGGCCAGAGGGAGTTGTGGTCCACTGCCTGAGTGCCTGTACTTCCACAAACCAGCCAAGGCACCCTGATTAGTGGTGTTGCCTTGAAGCTTGACATGCGCTTGTTTGTTGAGCTTTTCAAGACTGCCATGTTTAGGACGAGAATAGTATGCATGCTCTTCCTCAGCTCGTGCCTAGTTGATGCAGAGCATTTGTTCATCTTGCAAATTAGTGCTGGAGATGTGGGTTGAAGTTGTGAACAGTTGTTGACAACACCCATAACTGTGCTCATGCGCCTTCAAATGCATTCCAGATGAAATTTGCCATCTGTTGCGGGCAACTCAGATGCCAAGCACATGCTCCTCTGTGCCATTGTTGGTTGTGTGCTTGAATCTCATGCTAAGCCAAGGCAGGTTGGATTGCTACATTCCATGATGGGGTTCATATTGAGTATGTGCTATGTAGCATTTGGCATCAATTTCTTTGACTCAATGTGTGTGGGAGATATTTGTTTTCATGCACATCAATATTTTGTCTTGCAAGTGAGGAATCAACCTGTAAATCCAAGGCTTGGACCATGGAATGTGCCTCTTGAAGTACCATGCATTCTTGTTTTACCAGTCACCATGCCTTTGATTGTAGGGCTCAAAAGACAGGAGGACATCCATGAGCACTTGGAGGCCGTACACAAGAAGCAAGAGACTCTTTTGGCAAACCAAACCAAGCTTATGGCTCAGAATAGTCTCGCGCGACGGAATTGCTGCTCCCCTTCACACATTCCGCCAGCGCTGGACACGGTTGCTCTAGACAACCAGTTATGTGTAGTCAGGAACATGTTGTTGCAGAGCACAACAACCTACGTGGTCATTTGGGGCATGGGGGGCATTGGGAAGACCACATTAGCAAGGGCGCTCATCAATGACTCCGTGGTTCGCAAGGAGTTTGAAAAATGCAGTTTTGTGACAGTATCACAGTACCCCAACATTAGTCATTGTCAGAAACAGATATGGGATGCCCTCGTAGCCACAAAAGATAGTGTGCAGTTCACCACTCCTGAAGAGGGCAGGTTGCGATTGCAAGCAGCATTGAAAGACGAGGGTACGTTCATTGTTCTGGACGATGTGTGGGATGCCACTCACGTTGAACAACTTGATGTTGTGTCTTCAAAGAGCCGTGTCCTCATCACTTCACGACATGAAGAAGTTGCGACATGTGTGAGAGCGAGGCGCTATGCTGCTGTTGTACTTGGTGAGTCTGAGTCGATGGAGCTGTTTTGCAAGGAAGCCTTTGTAAGTGGACAGCCCTTGAAGTGGCAGATGGCATATGTCAAGGAGATTGTGCGGGAGTGTGGTGGTCTCCCTCTTGCATTGAAGGTCATGGGAGCGGAAGCTAGAGGCTATGGCTCAGGAGAAGAAGGGCGATCGGCGCCCAAGCCCTCAGAAAAGAGAAAGTGGCGAAGCGCAGTTGAGGGCATAAAGTCAGATGGTGTGGTCTCCAGCGGTTTGTTTGACAGAGTTTTCAAGATGAGCTTCGATTCCTTAAAAGCTCGGCATCGAGCTGCCTTGCTTGATTTGGCAATGTTACCTGAAGACCAGGATGCAAGGGAATCTGATGTGGTGGATATGCAGTGTTGCAATGGCCTGAGTATTGATGAAGCATACAAGGTGCTTGAAGATTTGGCTGAAAAATCCTTGATCATTCGTGCTGGAAAGTACGAATTGGATGTATATGAGTTTCAGTCCACTGGTTTTGTTACGTGCCGCTTGCACGATGTGGTGCGTGACAGTGCATTGAGAATGATTGCTGAGTTGCCCACTGCGAAACGCCACCGCTTGGTGTCATCCCACCTGAAGAAGTTGGCTTTGAAAGGTGTGAGATTGTCTGCAAAAAAGCTCTTCACAACGCACAGCATTGGGCAAGACAGAAAGTTGGACTTGCAGCAGTTGGATGTGCCTGAATTGCAGGCCCTTGTGCTGAGAAATGCAGAGATGTTGGAGCTGCCTGCATCCCTACTAACAAGGAACTTGGTAGTCATCGATTTGACATCTTCGGGAATTGTCAGCCTGCCTGCCCAGGTGACATGCCTTCAATATGCAAAGGTACTGCGCTTGGATTACTGTGACAAGTTGGAGTGTCTGCCAAGTGAGATGGGCAATATGGAACAGCTCACAGTGCTGTCCATGCGGGGATGCCGTGGCATCTTTGAATTGCCAAATTCTGTAGGCAGGTTGTCTAATTTGACGAAGCTGCTCATGCCTAGCTGTGGAATTGCACACTTCCTGGCAATTGAAGAGGGCAATTTGCCGAGTTTGACCATGCTGGACCTCAGCAGGTGTTTTGGCCTGAAGTGCTTGCCTGCCAGTTTGGGGGAGTTGGGCAGTTTGGTGGCGCTGGACTTGGGTGGGTGCTGGCAGCTGACCTCCCTGCCCTCTACCATAGGGCAGTTGGCAGAATTAGAGGTTTTGCTTTTGCGTGGATGCGAAAGTCTTGAGGAATTGCCAAGTGCGGTGACCCTCCTTCGGAACTTGGCAGAGTTGGATGTCCAGGGATGCACCAAGCTTAAATGTCTGCCTGAAGGTCTTGCTGATGGATGCCCTGAGCTGGGAATATTGCGTCTTCAGCAGAATGCAGCGATGGCCTTCCCAGAGTGTGTGGTGGATTTTGAGCAGCTGCTGGTGTTGGGATGGCACGAGGGCTGGGCGCTGCCAGTCAGCGTGACTCAAAAACTGCAGGACCAACAGGTTTCTTTGGAGCAGGAGCCAACCAATGAGTATACTTTGACACAGTGCAAAGTGAGTGCCACCAGGCTGTTTGTGCCACCGGAACCGATGTTTTACTGTGCCTGAACCTACATGTTTGTGATCAGGGTTTGTTTATCAGGGTCACAATTCATGCTTGGGTTTAATCACAGTCAGCATTGGGCATTGGTGTTTTGAGGTACAGGAGTGCGCACAGGCGCATCACATTCGCAAGACCATCATCCATCCCGTGTGGCGGATCAGCTAATGACAGTTTGGTTGTGCAAATGCAGGAGAGAGACACCCCTCTTCACTGGGCAGCAGAGCTGGGTCTGGCAGAAATGCTGAAGTTTCATCTGAGAGACACCAGTGTGGACAATAGGAGCAGGGTAAGTGTGTTGGGAAGAAGCTTGGACGTAGCAGTGAAGTATATGGTGTGTCATTTTCGGTGATGCGGCTCTCAAGTTGGATTGCACTCAGTTTTTGAGTGCACTGAATTGTGTAAAGCATAGGTCAACATTTAATGCTGACTTTATGCTACATTTGTGGCCCCCACTGAGCGAGAATGGAGTGCTTAGTTCAGTTGTTTGATCAGAGTGCAACTTCTGTGTCCAAACGCCAGTTCGCAATCGGGACACAAAGTTGCCACCATTAATTAGCATTCGCCAAACAGCACACAGAAAAAAATTCCATGAAAATGAACAAACCCTATGAAAACCTGTCCAAAAGGGACTGTTTGCAGGGCGATTCCAGATCCTGGTCCGAAGATGGAGATTTGTTTACACCACACGTTGTCGGAGCCAACTGGAATCCAGATGCAGGGAAGCTGAGGAGTTGGAAATGCTTTTTAACCAGTACCAAAGCAGATCCTTCCCCGGTAACCAATACGCTGCACATTGGTGGATGTCCATAGCAACAGGGATGGTGCATCAATTCTAGGCAGGAGGTGTTTAAACTTGAGGGTGGGAGAGCCACTCATGGCTTTGAATATATTCGGTTTGCAATGATTGATAGATGGAAAAATGCTGTTCAGTAATGTAGCCTAGTTATTGCAGCTTTAGCAAAAAGGTTTGGGCTGAAGAAAAACATGCATCAGGCACAATTTTTTGTGAAGTCTTAATTGTTAGTTTGCAACTGGTCAATAACATATACGAAATTCATATTGCTCTGTACTGATTTCTGGCCCTTTTGTACCTGGAGGATGTCTGCATGATCTCCAAAGGTCTGGAAAGGGTCTGGCACGAAATTCTTGCTCAGGAGGATAAGGCCAGTACCTATAGGCACTGGCACTTTAAAGATGTGCATACCATAGCAGTCACCTTTGCTTTGCGGCTGAGTACTGTATCCTGAACAAGCACTGGCCATGCCTTGTTCGATATCAGGGACAGGGCCAAGGACATGGGATGTTCTGTTGACTGTGAAACGCGAATTTCTCTGTGGGAAGTTGCAACTGATCCAAGCTAAAGATAGTGAAATAATATTCCGAACTCCTGATCTTAGTTGCAGTTTTGTATACAACCC